CTAGGCTTAGTTTTTTCATGGGAAATCGCGTGTCTACAAGGCCCTTATTTGTCCAGGTAAAAGAAAAGCGATAAGGCCTGTATCATGCAACCATCAAGCAGGCCCTGAGGATGGGAGTAGTCCTAGCAGACACAGGGGTAATGAGAACCCTGAGTCATTGACAAAAATGTCAGATTTCAATGATCAAAGAGATAAAAAATTTCCCTGGAAACATACAAGAAACACAACTTTTTATCACAGTTGAGTTGGGTCTGTCTTCTGGGAATGCATGGCCTGTTATAACAGTTGTGAATGCAGGAAACCAAGAAATCAGAGAGCAAGGTGATAGATACCCTTTGCTTAGGCCTTCAGTATCAACTGGACATGTTCCCATAATGTCCACAGCCCCTGAGGGTGTGGTTCCCTTGGTAGCCCAATATGACCTTTACTAGTCTTTTCAAACTTAAGCAAAAACTCAGGGATGTTAAATAATAAGCCCAAGGTTGCCCATTGGTGAGGCCTGATGTCCTGAGAGTATATGGCTTTCATTCCTATTCCTAGTTGTGATTGTATGCTGAATGTAATGCTAGAAAATTTTGTTATTTGCAGTTCCAGGAAGACAAATCTTTGTGGGAAAACAAAATGGAGTCATATCAGTAGAAACTTATTCCAATTTACCTGTTGTTTTTATTTTAAATATTTTTCTTTATTGATTTTTAGAGAGGGGAATGAAGAGGGAGAAAGAGAAACACTGATTGGCTGCCTCTTGCATATCCCCTACCAGGGATCAAGCCTGCAACCTGGGCATATGCTCTCACCTGGAATCATCAACCTTTTGGTGCAGAGGATGACACCCAACCGAGCCACACCAGCTAGGGCCCAATCTACCTGTTTTAACCTGGCAGTATAAATATTCATTTTTATTGTGTATCAGTTATGCAGCTTAAAAATTAAAAAGACTTCACACATCAAATTAGAAGCACTTCTTTAATGTAGGTCTTGGGAAAATCAAAATAAATGCAGCATACAGCTGGGCAATCCTGTCCCCTGCTGGCGAGAACTGACAGCAACCAGACTGTCTCAGATTAATTGTACTAACAAAATAATTCTTAAAACAATTTTTTTAAAAAAATTTATTTCAGAGAGCAAGGGCGAGAAATAGAAACATCAATGATGAGAATCATTGATTGGCAGCCTCCTGCACAACCCCCACTGGGAACCAAGCCCACAACCCGGGCATGTGCCCTGACCAGGAATCAATCAAACCATGACCTCCTGGTTCATAGGTCAAGGCTCAACCACTGAGCCACACCAATCGGGCAGACTCAGGTAATTTTAGATAATGATTTATGAAATTGGAGAAAAAAGACAACATAATCCATATCTGCTGAAGACAGAGAAAAGGCTTTAAGTGTAAGGCTGTGAAGTTATGCTCATAAACACCTGTAAAAGTCCTATTTGTTAGTATATAACTGGGTTCTAGTATCCAGTATGAAATTTTAATTTTCAAGCTTACCATCACACCAAGACTTCTGCTCCAAGTCTTTCATAAGAGCTAGGGGGAAAATGTACACAAATGAGCAAGTATTAATTTGACTTGTACTACTCATTATTCTTTTGCTAAAAATATGTAAATATATACTTTACATTAACTTCAAAAGCTGAATTTGAGCCTTTCATTGAAGAAACCTTTCATGGGCTTATAGAGGACTCTAGTTGTCCATACTAGAAAACACTGCCTTATTTTGCAAAACCTGAAAGTTTATACCTCCACATCCATTAACTCACTGAATCCTTGCAAGAAAATATCATTTTATGGTTGAGAAAACTGAAATTCAGAAGCAAATGTCTTGTTTAGAGCTAAATGTGGTGACATGGTTCTAAATATGCTTCCTACCATATTTCATTGTCTCCCAACATACTACCCAAATATCTATGATTATTGATGTTCACTGTTTGAATCTGCAGCATTACTTCAACTTATACAATAGATAATTGGCTCATAATTGAATGTAAATCTGAGTTTTATAAACAGAAGTTTTATCTTATTAAAGCTGCTTAATATTTAGAAGTCCTATGAGAATTCCATTTCAAATTAAAGAGAATTGTAATTTCTCCATATTTACAAAAAAATTTTTCTCCCCCTAAATGAGAGCAGTTCTAAAATAATTCATATTGGCAGGTGGCTTCGTCTTAAGTAATTTTCAGGACATGGATAATTCACCACAGGACTGAAGGAATTTAGGGGATGAACAAAATACCTGGCACCTTGAGCTTCCTGTGGGAAATGAGTTAAAAGGACATGATGGGATTAATGCTGATGAACTCAGAAAATTAAAAAAATACCCACTTGATATAATAGGAAGATGGTTCTCACTATAAAGAATTAAATACTTTCACTACCTATAGCGAGAACTCAAGGTCCGAAGAAAGCAGGCCCAGGTGAAAGAGTGAAGGCACACAAGCAGAACACAATACATGTATAAATTATTTAAAACCTAGTGTACCTAAGAATCAATACACAGAGGAGGAATAATTACAATGTCTGTTAATTTATAATGTTCCTTTATGTCTTAAAAGAAAATAAATATAAAAAAGTTTTAAGGAGAAACCAAGATGGTGGCATAGGTAAACACCGGAGATTGCTGCCTCGCACAACCACTTCAAAAATACAACTAAAAGACGGAACGGACATCACCCAGAACCACAGGAAGGCTGGCTGAGTGGGAATTCTACAACTAGAAGGAAAGAGAAAAGCATACTGAGACTCAGAGGAGGTGTGGTGCAGAAGTAAAATACAAAGGTGCGGAGGTGCATGCGGAGCGGGCTGGAGGCTGAGGACACGATTGTCTTTTTCAATCGGGAGGGAGTCTCAGGCTCTGAGCTCCAGTTCCGGGCGAGTCTCTGGGGACCCAGACTCATACGGGAGAAACAGGACTGTCTGACATCGGTCGGAACTCGAGGGCAGCTTTCTCTCGGAGGCACTTGCAGCCATTGCCAGGACCTCTGAAGGCAGGACTGAGAGCAGCCATACTGCTTGCTCTGCCCGCCTGTTGATCCCCTGGGACCCCGCCCCACCCAAGCCCTGCACGGAGGCTTTTGCATATGAAAGTCTGGCCTTTGTAATCTGAAAATTACTTAACAAACAGCAGCTGCTCCAAGGCCCCAGGGCAACTTGCAATATTTTACAGCTGGCTTCTGCTCCGTAGCCTCAAGCAGAGGCTAGATTAGCACCTCCTTAGATCCAAGAGCCAGTGTACCCAGTGGTCAGAGTGGGACCAACTAATTACAACTCCACAGATCTATAAGGGACACACTCATGGGGCAGACTCAGTGAGCACCAAAGCCCCAATGAAGCAAGTCTTGCCCCATAAGGGTGTCTTCAGCACAGAAGTTCTCCCACCACAGACACAGCTGATTCTCACAGCCAATTGGCCTGGAGGTCAAATCCAGTGTTACCTACAACAATCAAGGCTTAACTACAACAAGCCTGTGCACAAAGCCCACAACGGGGTGCACCAAGAGTGTCTACCTCAGGTAATTGGGGAGGCTGAGCCACTGGGCCCTATAGGACACTTAGCACTGAAAGCCACTCTGTCGACACAGCGAAGCATAAAAAATGCCAAGACAAAGAAACAGGACACAAATGACAGAAATGGAGGAAAGCAAACTACTGGATATAGAATTCAAAGCCACACTTTTAAGGTTTTTCAAGAATTTTCTAGAAACTGCCGATAAACTTTATGAGACCCTCAAGAAATCTAATGAGACCCTTGATGTTGTGATAAAGGACCAACTAGAAATTAAGCATACACTGACTGAAATAAAGAATACTATACAGACTCCCAACAGAGACCAGAGGAGCGCAAGAATCAAGTCAAAGATTTGAAATATGAAGAAGCAAAAAACACCCAACCGGAATAGCAAAATGAAAAAAGAATCCAAAGATACAAAGATAGTGTAAGGAGCCTCTGGGACAGCTTCAAGCATACCAACATCCGAATTATAGGGGTACCAGAAGATGAGAGAGAGCAAGATATTGAAAACCTATTTGAAGAAATAATGACAGAAAACTTCCCCTACCTGGTAAAAGAAATAGACTTACAAGTCCAGGAAGTGCAGAGAACCCCAAACAAAAGGAATCCAAAGAGGATCACACCAAGACACATCATAATTAAAATGCCAAGAGCAAAAGACAAAGAGAGAATCCTAAAAGCAGCAAGAGAAACTCAGTTACCTACAAGGGAGTACCCATACGACTGTCAGCTGATTTCTCAACAGAAACTTTGCAGGCCAGAAGGGAGTGGCAAGAAATATTCAAAGTGATGAATGCCAAGAACCTACAACCAAGATTACTTTATCCAGCAAAGCTATCATTCAGAATTGAAGGTTAGATAAAGAGCTTCACAGATAAGAAAAAGCTAAAGGAGTTCATCACCACCAAACCAGGATTATATGAAATGCTGAAAGGTATCCTTTAAGAGGAAGAAGAAGAAAAAGGTAAAGATACAAATTATGAACACCAAATACGCATCTATCAACAAGCGAATCTAAAAAGTGAATAAAGAATCTGATGAACAGAATGAACTGTTGATTATAATAGAATCAGAGACATAGAAAGGGAATGGACTGACTATTCTTGGGGAGGAAAGGGGTGTGGGAGATGCGGGAAGAGACTGGACAAAAATCGTGCACCTATGGATGAGGACAGTGGGTGGGGAGTGAGGGCGGAGGGAGGGGTGGGAACTGGGTGGAGGGGAGTTATGGGGGGGGGGGGGGAAAGAGGAACCAACGTAATAATCTGAACAATAAAGATTTAATTAAAAAAACACCAAAAAAAAAAAAAAGTTTTAAGGAGAGACTTCTGTTCTGTTACAAAGTTTAAGAATCCTGAAAGATTTTAACTAAGAATTAAAAAGCAAGAAATATACAAGGTTTAAAACAACAGTTTGGGAAATGTTAAGTATTTTCATTATTTAGAAAAATGTAAGCATAAACATGATGGGAAAAGGCTGCTGGGATGTGTCCATATTTATTATTTTCTTTTATTTGTGTAGACTTAATTCCATTGCTTCACCAAACTATATAGAACAAGCCAAAAGTTCCTGATACAAAGGAAAATTCTGAGCAAAATGAGCACCAACTTCAACCATGATTTTCTACAGTAAACATACTTAGCAATACAATTTAAACATTCAAAATATTTGATTTTGTACATGTTAAAAATATGCAGTCTTATATTTGACAGCATTTCCATTTAAAAGAACAATTTCCAGAGATAACTGTATTCTTAGCTGCTTGTATGATCACATTTAATAGACATTTCTAGAAAAAAATGACATTAAAAACCCACTTGACTGATTTTCCCCTTTGACAGTCTAGTCCGAAATATGTCGTTTTAACAACTTATACATTTTCTGGATTCCCTTAATAACCTTTTTTTTTTTTCTCCTCACAACACTGGCAATTTCAAGGCTCCCAAAGGCAGAGCTGGGATATAATTATACCATGGTAGAATGTGGGATGAGAATGCATACATTTGTTAAAAATAATTTTTGTACTGTCTGTTTTAAAATTCGTTACCCCATCATTAGTGCAAATAAAGCTTGATCAATATTTTAATTTTGCCATGTACATTTTATCTTCTCAATTCTGATATTTAAAAACCTATTCTATGTAACTTATAAAAATTTGAATATTCTAATTCAGTTTTAAATGAAAGTTTTGTTGCCTGAGCTTTTTGGAAATTCCTTTCTTAATACATAGTAAATATTAAGAACATGAAAAATATACAGATTGAATTGAAATCCTCCCCCCCAACCTAGAATAATGCTCATAAAAAATCCTATGTATTTCTCATTAGAAAAGTCTGATGAAACAATCTAGTATAGTTCTGCAACTTAATATACGTCAGCATGGTGGAAACAAACTCTTTTTACTTTATCCTCTGGTATTTGAAATAATTCGGGAGTTACCAACAAAATTACATTTTGAAGACAAGCTGTTTAAAAACAAAAACAATTTTATTGTAGAGTAAAAAAATATTTTAAAAAAATTTCCAGTTCACTTCTTTGGCTCCAAAAATGGAATTTTTCTTTCCTTCTCACTCTTCTGAGATTTTAGCAAACTTATTATTCCTTCCCCTAACGTACAAGAATTCTTCACATTTCTACCTTAAAAAATAAATTGGGAGACATGTATTCATCTACACTATACAAGTAGGGAGGGTGGGAAACATGCAGTAATGAAATGCATTGTCTGTGAAGAACTTTATAAAACAGACTCAAAGTTAGCCTGGTTTTGATAATCACGATGCACTAGTGACAGTACATTCCTCCTCTCTCGGTAGAAGGCTCCTACTGGTATGCTTCCCTCACCCTCTTTGGTAAGCCACTGAACGAGATACCTCCCAATTTCTCTTCTGGCTTCTTATGTCTTCATCTCAATGAAATTACATACTTGATGAAAAAGCACTGTCTTCATACTGTATCAATGGCATTAGTGCTTACTGATCTTCTTTATGCCCAAATCAATGGTTTTCATATCTAGTTGCTAGGAAAGCAAGAATAAAAGTAGGACTACTGAAACCACATAGATTATAAGAGAAAGTGAGACATTTAAATAAAAGACCAGGCGACTGCTTTTTCATAGTTTAATTAAAGCTTAAGTATAGGTGAAGGAAAAGTCCTGAAAATAAGGGTTGCATTTGGGAAAATATAAAGGGTACACTTAAGTTAGATGAACAAGATAAGGCAGAAACTACTATATAACATTTAAATTTAGTAAAAATGGTAATAAATGTACATAAATTGAATTTCAAAAGGGAAAGGTTAATCAATATTCCAGCTGGTATCTTTCTTATTCAAAACTCAAATGCTGAGCTGTAGGTACTTTGGAAGCAGTTATTAGACTCAAGTTATTGAGACTGAAGAAATCAGTAATGAGTATACCACATAGTTCACAAAGTACCGTCCCATCAAATACATGAGCTCATGTGAGCGCTCAACAATCCTGTGAGGCTCTAACAGTGGGAGGTAGTACTTACATCTGAGGATAAATTACTGACTGCACCACATCATAATCAGGTGATCTTGGGAGTATTATTTAACTGCTTTGTACCTTGGTTTCTCCATATGAAAAATGGGATGACTGTCCCTACCTCATAGCTGTTGTGGTAAATGAGAAAATAGATATAACAATTTAATATAACAGCTAGTCCTTGGTGAGTGCTCAATAAATGCTGCTGTTATTGTTATCATTATTTTTACGGGTAAAGAAACATACTTGGAGAGATCTAAGTCATATGAATAGTAAATCGTAAAGCTAGAAGTAGAATTCTAGAATGGACATATCCCTACTACCCTATATTACCAATGAAGATATACTTTTAGAGTATAGATGAGCCTTTTGCACAATTTTTACAGTTTATTTTTTGCAGTTGATAATGTCATTTGAGTTTGACAAATTCCACTGAATTAACAACATCATTTCCAATGAAAAAACATACTGCTTTTAGTGGTAAAAGAAGTTAATTACAGGCATTAAAAAGAAATGGTCCCTATGGACAATTAGGGTAGAGACTGGAATCTAGGGTTAGAAAAAGTTAATTTTAGTTTTTTTTTCAACCTCAGAAAAATGGAAATATAGTCTATTAGTAGAGAGCAGAAAGACTGCAAGCTTTGTAACTGCAGGAATATTTGTTTACTCTCAAGACTCTTGAAATGATTAGTAGGTACACAAACACTGGTTTAATGAATGTTTAAATTTAAAAAATCAACTTAAAACATGCCCTTAAACAGTAGGATTCACTTTACTCTGACATGCTTTCCTTTCCAGTTTTAACTATATGGTAACTATAAAGTTTGGCATATAATCAGTTAACTACCCAAAAATAGGGAACTTTTTATCAAAAGATTCAAAGTAAGAAATAAAAGACTAAATAAGGCCTTGAATAGCTTTATTGAAATCTGTATAAATAAACATGCACATTTCAAATGTAAACTCAAGTGAACTCAAGTGCAGATAAAATTTTAACCTCTGTCATGCAGGAGGTTAGTTTACATTTTAAAAAAGTAAAGAAAAAAGAAAAAAAAGAAAACAACAACCCCCCCCAAAACAAACAAACAAACAAAAAAACAAAGCAGCTTTTAAAATACCAGGATGTAAAACCAGCTTTAATATCAACGTATAAAGCAAAGCCATGATCAACATACCTCATTTATTTATCCTGGTCAAATGCATTTCTTAAAACTTTTAAATGCTAACATAAATAAATAATTTACCAAAATGTGCACTCACAGAGTGAACTTTTATTTACAATACACAATTTATAATCTATTGTATTTGATTAGTTCAAGTGAAGAACATTATACTTTTTGCTTTAATAACAGTAGGACACAAAGCAATTTCTCAGGTAGTCGATATGTGAAATGTGCCCCAGCATTTAGATTTTCTATTAAAGGCAGTATTGTATGCCAATTTACAATACATTCTTTTCAACTAGATCAAAGGGAAAGCAGCAAATGAAAAATGTTTCAAATGTTCACATATATTTTTGGCATCCTGGATCCTTAAATGTGGTGAACTAAAATCAAATTCAAGGTTTGTATGCTTTATATACTGTACAGGTTCTCACTCTGGAACATGCAAATGCCAATTCTCTTATAGCAAGTTACCTTCTGAGAAAAGCTGTAAGGCTATGGTGAATTCCATCAGGAACACACAAAGAAAGTTAACAGACCTACCTTTAAAGCCAATTGTCCAATAATGATTTAAAGGCCAGTATATGAAAAAAATTTCTCATCCTAAGCTTGATGTAATTATTACTATGGATACAGAATACTATCAAGTCTGTTCTTATATTACAATAATTGGGAGAGCTAAACGTTGACAAATTACCAAAAAATGGGGTAGAGAAAAACAGACAGCAAAAATTTTAATTTGGGACCAACACCAGATTAAAAATATGCATTTTAATACGAAGAAAGTAAAAAAAGAATTTGAATGTCTAAGGAATAGATCCCAATAGCTGTAAAAAACACATTTAACTGAACAATGACTTCAGATGGAGGATGAAATTTAGAACCTGTTTCCACAGTAGCAATAAGATGATTTTAATGACACTACAAAAGGAAGTAACTTTTTCAAGATTGTTTCTTTTATCATGATTTGGTTTTTTAATAGGCCCACACTGATTACCAGGGATAGTTTGAAAATTTGGTTTTCCAAGGATACTACTGCAGTATTTATGCCACATTAATACTGCAGCTAAATGACTAATGCACATGAACTAGATTATTCAAAAACTAAGTTCAGCCATAGTTTTCTCGCAGTATTATTAGAGCAAAAAATGACCAACATCCACAAATTTAACATTTGTCATCAATTAACTCACATCCAAAAAAATTAAAGAAAACATATTCATCAAAACAGCAGCAAACTTAAAAGGGATTTATTTGTGATTTCCTATATATATTTAGCTTGTAAATACAAGACTGTAAATGTATTAAGAGACAATTTCTGTTAAAGTTTTCATTGTGTTTCACTTCAAGTACTGCACAAGTTAAAATCTGATAAAGGATTTACATTCAGTTATCTGAAACTCCCCATCTCAGACGTTTGTTTAATGTGGTGGATAACTTCATTTCAATCGCTACCACCAGCAGGAAAGTCTCTCTTTTATGGCTTCTAGGACTTTCATTAGTTAGTATGCATACAATTTTCGTTTTCTATATCATTGTCATTATCATTGCTATCTTCATCACTTTCTAATGGGATGCCTGCGGCAGCTGAAGCACCTTTAGTTTCTCGGTCAAGAGGGAAAAAGCCAGTTCCACTGAAAGTGTCTTGTCTCTGGTAGAAGAGTACATATGCTGCTTTGGACTGTTAAAACAAGCAGAGGATGTTAAAAAGGTCATGATTCTCAAAGGTCACATTAAATAATATAGTGTGAATTTTTACCTGGCAACCAATTTTGGTGATAGGGCACACATCAAATATAAAAAAACCACACAGTCAGATGGAAGTTACAAAAATTGATTAAATATAAGATTACTTCTACTTATAAAAGTGGAATGGTCACTGGAATTTTAACCTTTTTATTCTTTTCTAAGTTAGTTGGACAGGTGAATAAATGCAATAATATAACAGATTAACCTAGGTACTGTAACATGAGCTAGAATTCTATGCCTTCTTCCCTCTTATCTCTAAGAACCTTCTTTGTAATTCTAATCACATCATTCATTGTTTGCTGTAGAGTCCAACTTCTGTCTTAAGGCTATTGTTCCATCAACCAACACTGTGTATCTTGAAGGAGTCCTTATTTACTGGACTTCTTGACATCAAAAGTCTTCCTCAGCCAGAATGGTAATCTAATATTTATCATTTACTCTCCTGAACACTCCTCAATTCACTATGACCTAATAGCTGCCCCAAACATTTTAATGAAATAGTTTTCACTAGGGTCAATAGCCTCCTATAAACAAATTAAATAAATGCCTTTTTTAGTTCTTTCAGTCAATCTCTCTGTAGCATTTTATGCTCTACTACTCTTCCCTGAATCCAACCATTTTTAGCTTCTGTGATACTTAGATTTTCTATCACTATGGTTTCTTTTGACTTTTCTTTGGGCTCATTAAATCCTATCCTTTAAAAGAAATCATGTTCTGTCTTAAGCCCATAACTCTTTCTCAATCTGTGTCTTCTCAGTAGGTGACTCATTCAACCTAAGGCTTCAACTCCTACCTAGGACCCACAACTCAAGCCAATTCTCACCCCTAAACTCTAATCCTATTAGTCCAAATACATAAAGAGACTTTCCACTTAGCTATCATATAGGCACCTCAAACTTCAATGCAAATTTTCTTTCTTTAGTTCCTATTTTAGTAAATTGTAATTTTTTCCTCTTTGCATGTCTATTCTATATCTGTATCTTCATTTATATCTAATCTTAATCAAGTTCTTTTAATTCTATCTAGTAAATCTCATAAATCCATTCTCCCCTTGTCTATACACTTACTACCACTAAAGTTGACATCCTATCTAATAAAAGAGAAACATGGTAATTGGCGTACGACCGCTACCCTTCCCATTGGCTAATCAGCGAGATATGCAAATTAACTGCCAGCAGCCAGGCAGCCTGAAACTAACATGAGGCTTGCTTGCTTCAGTGACGGAGGAAACCAACGCTCCCCGCCTGCTTTGCCGGCCTCTGAGCCTGCAGTTAAAGAAACATTGTAACGCATATAGAAGCTAAACAAAACCCCAGAAACCTGCTTTCAGGGAGGCCGGGATCTTAGAGCTGGAGTTATACACTGTTTCGATTACAGAACCGAAACAAACCAGATACCTTCTTTCAGCAGCAGGCTGGCCAGGCACCCCAGTGGGGACCCCACCCTGATCCAGGACACCCTTCAGGGCAAACCAGCCAGCCCCACCCACACACCAGGCCTCTATCCTATATAGTAAAAGGGTAATATGACTCCCAGAACTAGGATCAGCGGAGCCGAGAGGCCTCCCGGCACCGGGATCAGCGTGACAGGGGGCAGCCCCAAACCCCCTGACGCCCTGCGGCTCTGTGTGTGACAGGGAGCGGGGCCACAACCTCCCTATCCACACTGCTCTGTTCGTGACAGGGTGCGGCGCCCCAACCCCCTGATCAGCCCTGCTCTGTGCCTGATAGGGGGGAGCTCCTCAACCCCCTGATCGGCCCTGCTCTGTGCATGACGGGGGGAGCTCCCCAACCCCTTGATTGACCCTGCTCTGTGCGTGACAGGTATGGAGCCCCAACCCCCCTGATGGGCCCTGCTCTGTGCGTGACAGGGGGCAGCATCCCAACCCCCTGATTGGTCCTGCTTTGTGCATGACAGGGTACGGAGCCCCAACCCCCCTGATGGGCCCTGCTCTGTGCATGACAGGGGGTGGTGCTGCAACCTCCCCATCGACCCTGCCTTGAGTGTGACAGGGCGGTGCCCTAACCCCCCAATCAGCCCTACCCTGAGCGTGACTGAGGGTGGCATCGCAACCTCCCAATCTGCTCTGCTCTGTGCATGACAGGGGAAGGCACCCCAACTCCCCAATCGGCCCTGCTCTAAGCCCGACCAGGGGCTTCACCTAGGGATTGGGCCTGCCCTCTGCCACCCGGGAGCAGGCCTAAGCCAGCAGGTCGTTATCTCCCAAGGGGTCCCAGACTTCGAGAGGGCACAGGCCGGGCTGAGGGACCCCCCCTCCCCCCCGAGTGCACAAATTTTTGTGCACCGGGACTCTAGTACAATATTATATTAGTTTCAGGTGGACAATATAGTAGATTTAGAAGCTTTTATTGCTTAAATTACATGACAGCCTCCCTTCTGCTGGTGGCAGAACATGGCCTTTCTGCTTTTCTCAGTGCCGTTCAATCTATCTTCTATAGTGTTCTCAGACAGATGTTAAGATGCAAATTTAATAATGTCCTATTACTTAACAATCACCCAATGCTTCTCACAGCCTTTAAAAAAAAAAAAAAGATCTAAATAAAGAAGAAAGTCACTTGTCTTAATCCGAGTCCCAAATTTAGCTAATTTCTGCCACATATCCTTAACAAGAATCTTTCTTTCAGTAATACTGAATTATTTGCTGTTTCCCTAAATGTCATGTTCTGTCATGCTTCCTTACTTTTGTAGGTACTGTTCTTTTTGCATAGAATATTTTGTTTCTTTTGTCTAATTTACTCTTATTTGTACTTGCAGACTCAGGTTAAACACTACTTTCTTTATGAAAACTTCCCTGCAGTGGTCCTGTCTCCTTTAACCCCAAATCACATAAGACAGCTGCCTCCTTTCAATGTAGCCAAAATATTTAATAGCACTTATCATATATAATCATTAATTTGCTTATCTGTCATCTTTAGATTGTAAACCTCTTGAAATGATATTTGTCTTTTAACCTAGCTTACAATAGTTTTAAATATAGACTCAAGTACTTGTTGACTAAATGAAGAACCATTATTAAGATGCAAGGAAACATCTAATTCATATATTATATATAAACAAGATATTTATTTGAAGGCAAGATTAGAGCAGTGTTGTCAAAAAGACTTTGAAAAAGGATGTAAGCTATTTCAGGATTGAAAAGTGAGAGATATGACTTGACATTAGAAGTCTAAATATGAACCGGAAGTGTAGTCAATTTAGGCCTATACACATTTTAAAAAATATTAGAGTTCAAGTCTGTTCTCTGCTATAAGGAGATAAGCAACAGTACAAAATTTATATGTATATACATATACTACATATACATAAAGAATAAAACATTTGTAGGGAAACAACTCAAAATTATGTTTCACCTGTTCATCCAATGACAGGTCAAAACCATGTCAAATAAATGGGCCTAGAAGTTTATTAATTTACAAAGTTGAACAATTTAGGTTGAAGAATTTTAAAGTATCATAACAAGAACAAATGCTAGTCTCTGCCCTCAGGAATATATAATTTAAACTTAGAAAAATGGTAAAGCAGTCAGCACTTTACACATCAACAGAAAACTTCTGTATAGAAAATATCACATGAGTAAATACTATATTTCTTAATCTTTATAATTCTTAATATTTATAATATGATCAATAAATAAAACTTATAGAAAGGCAAAATTCATAGAAATATAAGCTTTTATCAAGCAAATCTTAACTTTCTTCTTAGAATATACAAGTCATCTTTTTGTCAATCAATATCTTATAATAAAAATCTGCTCTGATGGGAAGCAAAACAAATGCCAATATTTTGGCTCTGGCTGTAACTGATAAACTGATGCAAGTGTGACTAGATGCAGCTTCCTAATTTTTCTGCTATTTAGAAAATATTAAAGTAACAATACAAAGGGTTAATTAAAAAAAATATATATATATATGATTTCTTTTACCTAATTATGTAATTTTGAGTTTAACTGTCATAAAGGATAAGACTTTACTTTTAAAATCATATGTATAGTAAGGCCCTTAAAGGACTTCTTTTTCTACTTTAACTTTAACATTCTGACTTTAAGTAGTCTAGAAATGTCTGAGCCTATTTTCTAGAGAAAAATTTTTATTATAAAAAGAAGTTATTATTTTCCTTAGAAAACTCCAATTTTCATGTTGAAAACTACCAGGAAAATTTTCACGTTGCAATTTGTACTTTTAAATTTGTTAGTGGGCAAATTTAGAAAACAAATGTTCACTTAGGGGACAATTTTACATTTCTTTAAATCAGAGCAAGTTTCTCTTAGCTATTAGAATTGCTAGAAGACAGACTACAGTATACTATGGTCCCTTTTTAAAACAGTGGTTTTCTTGATTTTCAGAAAATAAAAGACACACTTACCACAATCTGGTCTTCAGATGCAGTTGAGACACTACTGTCATCAAAGTAGTACCATTTTCCATCATCTTTATTTTTTGCAAAAGCAGTATCTAATGAAAAAATATAACCACCTCTATAACTGAAATAATTTATGGTTTCCATTAAAACCTTAAAATCATATGTGTGAGGAACACCTATTAAAATTATATGATAATCATCTATATAAGGCCTATCTGTTATACATTCAACTGATTTCATTGATTAAAAGGTTTTAGAATAATTTCCTAAAATCTACATGCCTATGATACTTTTCATAAGATGAATTTGTAACTTCTTTTCACCTCAGGGACAAACAGAACAGATTTGTTATTTATTTATTTTAGATTTGTTATTATTTTTTTAATTCACAGAGTAACAATACTAATGACAATAAATGGTAATTAACATTTATCATGTACCAGGCACAGTGGTATGCACTTTCTGTGCATTATTCATAAAGTGTCATTATTATCCTTCCAATTTCAGAGATGGAGAAAGTGAGGCATCTTGCCCAACAGTGTAGCTGTTAGGTAGCAGAGTTAGGATTCAAAGCCAGGTCTGCCTCTGACTCCAAAGTTTGAAACTTCACCTATAATTTAAATTTTCTATGACAAAATTTTCCAACAATACTAGCCCACTAATTTATAGTGGTTTTCACACTATAATAATTTTCATTCTTTAATAAAAGTACAAAGCAAGAGAAAGGTAAAAAGTGATTAATTTGCACAAGTTTTAAAGTTTTGCTTCATCTTGAAGTTAAAAAAAATTGCCCCCTTTACCATCCCATGTTTTGTATAAACTACTTAATAACTGAGGAAACAAAGTTGCAAAATGTCCTGAAAACAGTTATCTGCTGTCATAGCTTCTAAAAAGTGACACTTTATAGGCCACGACTTCTAAATAATTCTACCCATCACAAAACAAATGCATTGTTCTTCTGAGTGGAGCCTATTGTGGGCCATAAATTTGTCAATATGAACTCACAACTGCTACCCTCAGAAATGAAGAGAAACATTGTTAGGCTGAATAAAAAGACAAAAATCTAACAATATGGTTTATAAGAGAGACAAATCCTATAAAAAGGCATACAGAGTTTGCAAATTAAATGTTATTAAAAGAAAGCTAGATTAACATTTATAATTCTGAGAAAAATAAAAGAACATCAAATCCTGGTAAAAGAAACAAAAGAGAAAGAAGAGCTACCCATTATAAACATAAATACAATTAATAATGTAAAACAATATCAGTAGAAGTCCTGACAAATTCCTCTCAAAAAAAGAATAAACATAAAAAATGACCAGAAATAGTAATAATTTGAAGACATTTGGTAAGCAGAAATTATTAGTGAACTCTATGTTTGAATAGAAAAATACCTATTTTTCAAGCACACAAACATTAAGGAACAGACCATTTATTAAGCCACATGGAAGCCTGAATAAACCCTCCTATGGATTAATATAATACAGACAGTGCCTGTAACAAAATAAAATTCAGAATAAAAGAAGAGTTTTGTAAAAACCATGTATTTAGAAAAGTATATAGCTGAAAATATGACATTCCAAACTTGATGGGATACAGATAAAAGCAGTAAAGGAAAATTTCGAACTTTTATTATAGCCCTCAACTTGGGATGAGGGTGAGGAAGGGGGGGGGGGGGGAGAGGGGCGGGGGGGTTGGAAAGCCAAAAGCATTCAACTCAAAAAGCTGGGAAAGAACAACAGAGCAAACCCAAAGTAACAAGAAGAAAAATATACCAAAGGGAAGAGAAGAAATCAATAAGATAGAACACATACATGTAATAGATAGGAAAAGAGAAAAAAGACAAAGGAAAAAATAGCATAAGAGTATTATAAACAATTCTTCTCAAATAAATTGGAAAACATAGATATATTTTTTGAAAAATAGAAAATGCCACAATGTGCACATTTTGGAAAAAGAAAACTGAATAGACTTCACAAAGCATGACATAAATAAAAAGTTTAAGGCTGTAAAGCCCAGGTAAGAGAATTTTTACAGGTTAATTCTACTACACTTCATGAATACTTAATTCCTATACAATGCTAGCTGCTTCAGGAAACAGATAAAGTATCCCAGCCTGTTTTATTAGAGTAGACATTTCATTTACACATTAATTGTTACAGCGTGCAGTTCCACAGTGTAGCGGTTAGCACAAATTAAATGTAACAATCCTAAATAAAATTAGTTAATCAAATCCAACAGGGTATATAAAAAATACTAAAAGATAAGTTGGATTTTCCAGGAATGCAAAGATGGTTCAATGAAAAATCTATCAACTAAAGTGTGTAGACTGGTATAACCATCCTGGAGAACCATCTGGAAGTACCTGAACACTCATGACCCAACAATCTCACTTCTGGGTATGTAGCTCAAAAAAATTCTCACAAAGGGGAACATAAACAATAATGTTTATCAGTCTTACGGTGGTAGAATGTTAAAGGCAATTTGGATATCCATCATGAAATAAGTAGAGATAAAATATGGTACCTGTAAGTTATGAGTGTTTAGAAGCAATGGACTACATGGACATTTCTTATGGTAAGAGAAAAAGATGAGATTTATAGCACAGTACCAATCATGTAATTTAACAATGATGCATGATCTATAAGAGCACATACATTAAACACATTAGAAGGGAAAGGGAAGGAGAACAGAGAAGGACAGTAGCCCTGAATAGACAAGTATGAACTGAGTATGAATAATTCAATCCTCTATGCCTTTTTGAAAACATTCAAAAGCAGATCTGTTCATTAATCAATATTTATTGAACAACTACTACATGTAAGACACACCTCATATTTTCCCCTTAAGGATTAATAAATATCTTAAGGAAAAAAGTCTGGAGTTATCAAACATCATGATTTTAGCAGAAAAGTAAACTGTAAACTTACAGTGTCCTCCTCCCATCCCTCCATAGTGGTTGGAAACAGCAATCAAATTATAGCGGCAAGGACCTGCATTTGGATTAATTAGGAATTCCGACATATCCAAGTCACTGTTTTAAAGACAGATCAAATTAGTCTTATGTTCTACCTACATGTAATGAATTCTATTCCCCTCTATCAGTGTTGTTTGACATTAATATCTCTAAAGAAATTACTAAGAGACAAATAACTCTATAAAGCAAATCATGTATATACTCCTGAGATTTGAATGTGTTGTCAAAAATTTTCTTAGGGGTTGAGAATTTAAAAATTATCCAGTGATTGTTGTTATTCAGATTAATGTTTTGATGCTAATACATTTAATTTTTGGCACTTGGAAAAGTATTCATCACTATTTACCTAACATCTAGGTCCTTTTTGTTTTTGTATTTTTAAAGTCATTTTAAGAAATGAATTATTTAAAGAAAAATAAAGGGATAACGAAAAACAACTTTCTTGGAAATATTATAATAATTTAAATATATCTAACCCCCAATATTGTTTCTAAATTTCCTGATTCTGATAATCTGTATATCCCAAATGGCCAACATTCTGTGACATGTAATCAGCTGTTTATAATCTGCCTCTCATGAAACTGGAACATGACCATGTTATAGCTTATCATTACTTCTGGTTACACTTTTTGTACTTGCCTCACTGAAAAACAATAATGATTCTAAACTACTTTCTCTAATAGGTTCTAGAGATTATCATTACTTCTGGTTATCCTTGTACTTATATAGTCAAAATGTCATATTCTTTAAACTCTGATGGCTCATAATTTTGTAAAGGAGAAAATTACCATTTTTTGGTTCCATAATTGAAAACATTTTCAATTTTATTTATTGTTATTATTTTTAATCGTCACCCGAGAATACGTATCCATTGATTTTTGAGAAAGAGGAAGAGAGAAGGGGAAGGAGGGAGGGAGGGAGAGATGAGAGGGGGAGGGAGAGAAGGAGAGAGGGAAAGAGGGTGAGAGGGAGAGAGAGGGAAAGAGAAAAACATCGATGTGAGAAACATTGATTGGTTGCTTCCCGTGCACCCCGACTGTGTTTGAACCTGCAAACTGGGTATGTGCCTTGACAAGGAATCAAACCTGAGACCTTTCAGTGTACGGGATGATGCTCCAACCAACTGAACCACATCAGCTAGGGCAACATTTTAAATTTATAATCACCAGTTAGAATAAGCAATCCACAGAATGTTTTTAATACTATATCATTTATTTCCTTCCAATCACCTTTATATACCTGCCTTAAGCATTTGTCTAATTATTAACTATAGCAAGTAAATTTGGTGCAGAAATATCATGAAATGTATAAAAATACTATCAATGTTCTTTAGCAAAATTGGAAAGTATGAAGTTCTTGTTGCATAATTTTGTTCCATAAAGTCCTTCCTGGACTACATGAATGAGATACAATATTCCCTTTTTGTCCTTCTGAATTCTCAATTATATTCAGTGAAAGCTTAAAAAGAGAGGAATACAAAGATGCTACATCTCCAGACCACTTCATACCTTTCTACGAATATGATATCATACTCTGGACAATGCAATAAGAAAACTGAAGGAGTCCTAACCAGTTTGGCTCAGTGGATAGAGCGTCGGCCTGCGGACTGAAGGGTCCCAGGTTCGATTCTGGTCAAGGGCATGTACCTTGGTTGCGGGCACATCCCCAGTGGGGGGTGTGCAGGAGGCAGCTGATCAATGTTTCTCTCTCATTGATGTTTCTGACTCTCAATCTCTCTCCCTTTCTCTCTGTAGAAAATCAATAAAATATATTAAAAAAAGAAAAAGAAAAACTGAAGGTGGTGACACAATATCACTACTGTGTTATCTTTCTAAACAATTTTATTATTGTTTTTATATATTACTTTAATCTTTAAAAAAAAGGATATTTAGGAAAAACTGATGATTGATTCCTAAGAAAAAATAAAATCACCAAGGTCACATGAGTATCTTAGATTTATAAACAGGGACAACAAATCCATAATAATGTTAATACAGAATGAGTTTTATTCTTTTTAAGTATATTTTCTTTTTGTTCTTCAAAAAAATCTCTAAAGTAGGAATAAAGATTGTTATTGATCGTTATGAACTGTTAGAACTACTCAAAAATACACTCAAAACCTGAGACTGTGTCCAATGCTACCTGATGACTAAAAAAAGTTAGAGCTGTCTGATGTTTATGAAGCATAATTAAAACTTACGTGATAGGAAAATCAACTAAGGTATCCAACTTGTCTCTCATGTATCGACTATAGGAAAATCGCTTGAGATGTACCACAAGTACTGGAGGCAGGGACCATAAATCCAATTTCTTTGTGGCTTGCTGATGTTCTTTACAATTTGGGCAATACCTAAAAATGAAGGGAAACACTTAAAGCTTGATAGAGGCAATTAAAACAATATGTATTTAAAAAGTTTGAAAAGTTCTACATTATTTTAGTGAGCAGTTATTGTATGCCTAATATACACCAAATAGATTTAATAGGAATTCCCATTATTTTTATATTCAATACATATTCCAAATAGTTTAACTATTATGAATATGTAAATAAATATTCAAATAAATGACGAAGGCTAGATTATTTACATTTCAGTATGCTAATTCTGTCGAGATGCAGGTATTAGAAAAATCTCAAAATTTCTGGGCTCTAATGAAATTAATAATACCACATAACATATTACAATTTTCCTAAAACAGTTTCTCTCAAAATGGCAGCACTGCTAAAAATTCTCAAGAAAAAGTAATTATTATGAAAAATATAATAGTGGAATTAAAGCTTAACATTTTAATACTTTTAAAGACATTTTCATCCCTCTTAATAAAATATATAAATAAATGCTTATTATTTAAAATATCAAAGGGAATTTAGCTATCATCTTTCTAACTTGATGGACCACATACCTCCGTATAAACCTTAAAAAAAATTAGAAAGAACTATTTAACTTTGTTTCTTACCAGGGATCTTCAGCACCTAGCTTTTCTTTTGTTGTAAAAAGCTCAATACAATCTTTTAATTTCACAAAGGGTTTTTTAGGCGGTTTATATTCCACACTTTCATGTTTTTCAAAATCCTAAAGAGAAGTATTTCTTGAGTTAAGAGAACAAATGAGACAAAACTCATTTTAGTGATACCATATTACTATGAATAGTAATGAAAAACTCGCAAACTTCCTCAAAAGAATCATAAAGCTTATTTCAGCTAAGATTTACACCACACTTCTAAATAAGTTCTATATACACACTTAAAAACAACTAAAAAGTATAAACAGAAAGCATGTTTAAAACAAATAAATATTTTCTAGTACATAACCAACCAATTTTTTACTGGCAAAATAAATACATTTGGTAGAAGCAAAAGAATGCAACAAAACAGTGTGATCAAGATGGAAAATATAAAAAAAGAGTGATGACTTACCTCAGCAGCATTTTCATCAAAGTATCTTTTTTTCAAATCAGGATCCCAATCCAAAGCAAGAAAAGATCTTTCTAAGGTGGAAAACATATTTTTCTTTAAAATTTAATATGCCTTAGTGTTAAGATCAGTGTATTTTAATGTTAAGACATATGTGAGAATAAACATATAACAATCTCTTTTACTTTGATTAGGTCCATGGTCAGCAAACTGCGGCTCGCAAACCACATGCGGCTCTTTGGCCCCTTGAGTGTGTCTCTTCCTAAGCCTCAGGAGTACCCTAATTAAGTTAATAACAATGTACCTACCTATATAGTGTAAGTTTAAAAAATTTGGCTCTCAAAAGAAATTTCAATCGTTGTACTGTTGATATTTGGCTCTGCTGACTAATGAGTTTGCCGACCACTGTATTAGGTGATAAGGGCAAATCATTGTTTCTAAACCATTATAGTATTTTAGGAATTAAAAAACCAAAACAAAACTTAAGCATAAGTCCAACCTCTATTTAATAAACATTAACATTTGTTTTAGTACTAGAAGCCTGGTGCACGAAATTTGAGTAGGATGGGGGGGGGGGGGGGGGGCTTCAGCCCAGCCTGCGCCCTCGGACATCCCTCTTGCAATCTGGGAGGCTGCACGCACCAGTGACCATACTTTTCATACAGGTGAAAGGCGTCTTGCTGTTGTATAGCAGCTACATTTTTTTGCCCTGATTATAAAAAGTAGTACATAACATGATCCTTCTGAGGAGGTAGTACCATTTTCCCCATCTTACAGGTGGAAAAACTGAAGCAGAGAGAAGTTAAGTAATAGGCTTTGTCACACAGTATTAAGTGTCAGAATCAGGGCTGACCACAAAATGTGCAAGCCTGAGTCCATGCATGTCATTGTTGTAACATCCGTTTTTTCAGTGTTAGTGTAGCCTTGCCAGGTTTTAATTTTGAAATCTAAGAGACTGTTCCCCATATATAGGGTAGGGTCCCTAGGCCAGGCTGGCGATCAGGGCCAATCTGTGGGGCGACCGGCAGGGCGACTGTGGGGGGGCCCTAGCTGGCACCTGCTTTGGCTGGTGGCTTGGCCCCACCCACACACCCTGCCTGCCATCACCTCCCTCTGCGGCCGATTTGCATATTAGGATTTTATTATATAGGATACTTAGAAATTAAGGCTTTTAACTTAAGATTTTAGATAGATAAGTACTAAAATTAATGTGTTGAATTTTATAGTTTCCATCTAAAAAAATAACACGCTTTTTGCTAAAGTTTAGTGTTCAAGCCATTTTTCACAAATACTTACCATCTAGCCTAAGCTGCCTATCATCAAATCTTATATGCCTGGTATCGTCTTTGATGTAGTTGGTATCAGTATTGCCTAAGTTGTTAAACTGGAATGTAAACAATCGTTTTTTGTGTCCCGTGAGTTGACCTTTGCAAGTTTCTTCGGTACATAATCCATTTTCAGAATCATTATCTCCTCCAACTGAATCTTCAGACTGACTATTTTCATTCTCAGAGGGAAGTTCTTGATCTTGGCTTGATTCATCATCTGGCTCATCTGTTTCCATTTCACCTAATTTTAGATATTAGAAATCTTTAAGAAAACTCAATGTTGCATTTAAAAATTATTAATACTAACATTATGTTTCCTAAGCTTGCTGATATCTTTTAGTTCCTTAATCCCCATCCTCTTGACTTTTCTGAGGCAAAAATCCAAGTGAAGAGTTTTCACAATTTAGTAGGAAAGTCTTACTTGGTGAGCCTTCTTCATGTATGCCATTTGGGCCATTCCCATTAATATTTTGGTCCTTACAGCAATGTAGGGATCCTTCAGTGTCTTCAGTTTCAGTAGATATTTTGACATATCGGCTTAAATAAAATCAGAAATCAAACAAGTTCAGTGCTATAAAGGTAAAAACTTAAAATTTTCTATTCTTTCAATAAAATAAAACTTTTAAAGGCAATAACTGGTCATTTGCTAGATTCAAGGATAAATTCAACTCAAGATAAAGTTCCTTATGTGGAACTGACTAATCATTTGTTTTGGTTGTCTTCATAAAAAGTTGATTTGTTCTTCTTGAGTTTTAACATATTTTTATATGTAAAAAGTGTGTGGTAAATAATTTCTCCACTTAAAAATTCTCAGGTTAAATATATATGTTATTGCTAAGATCATTTATAGGTGTGTAACATGATCTTTATGTATGGGTTATGAGACTACAGTAATTAAAATAAGTAAGAATACTAAATATGTCAGTGATAAAGAACAAAAGAAAGGGATCAAATGACATTCTTGATTACTTTAAAATTCAATTCAAGGTTTCAGGAAGACAAAGAGCGTTTGCCTTACAATACTACCAACCATGAAAGTTTATCCTTTTAAATAAAACTGTTTATTTGTATGAGTTCTTGAAGTAGCAGTGTGTACAAAGAGATAAAACATCTGACATTGTTATGATTTTAGAGTGTATATGCATGATACATTTTTATTATTTTCTTCCAACTATTAACATTTGGTGAAAATGGCTAAAAGGATTCATGCTTCCTGGGTGTGAAATTAACTCACTAATGTTTTACATGATCAAGAAACTGGATTAGACTATACTTTGATTTTTAAATTGCTACCTATCTAAACAAACTAGAGATAATACAGACTTATCTAATGTACTATGCACCTTTACTTTCTCTAGCTATTTTATATTTTATCTTCCTAATGCAGAATTATCTGACACTTACCACATTCTCAAAAGTAGGAGATTATAGAGTTTATCTTCAGTATTGTTTCGTGGTACAGCCATAAGAAAAGGCTGACCAAAAAGTGAAGAACCAGTATGGTGGGTATAACTTGAGTGTCTAAACTTTTCTCGTAGGCAAACAGGAATAATCACATGCTCTGTATCTTCTGTCCTATTGATGTTAATTTCAAACCTATAAAGACAAAGCTGAAAATAAATTCTGAAAACTTTTGTTATTCTTTTGAATATTTTCTCGTGATATTTTTCAAAATGAATTTTATACTTACACATAAATATCATCCCGCTCCATAATACTACTAAGATTTTCATCCATTGTGAATATTCTGTGAAATCTATGATTGTATATATCAGTAACTATCATCTAAAAAAAAAATAAATTTCTATTGAGCTGGTTTTACAACACTGCAAAAATAAACTCCAACTTACATTCTTCTAACCCAGAACCATCTTACCTTATCTGCAGGTACTCCTGATAAAGCCGACAATGCTGTGCAAAGATCAAGTATGTTTCCAATTTTGGGGACAATCACTTTGTACTAAGAAACAAAAATTTTTTTAATGAATTTATTACTTTGCAAAAAATATTCAATAGATGAGACCAATGTCATGTTTGCTTCCTCACATTCACTTGGCATTTGGCTCACAGCGTCTCCAATCTTAACATCATCCCGGTGACAATGTCCATATGGATAATTTATCTGTACCTTATTGTCCTTTGGCTATTCAATTCAAAGACTCACATTTGCATTCAACTGTAGTTAACTTCTTAGAATTTGTTATAACCTGTTCCCAGTTTACTAGCTCCCTGTCTTCATACCCTTCCATTCAGACTGCACATGATTCCTCACTTCAACTACTCCATTGCAAAACCTTTAATTATTTGTTATTCAGTTTTATTCTTGCTACACTTTCTTAGAGAGCTGTTCACATAGACTGGAGAAAACTGCCCAACTTTAAAGATTAGTGCACTACAAATTCAATGCCCTATCTCAACTGGTTCCTCAGCGCTAGCCAGAAGTCTGTGTATCCCTTATTTACTTATTCTCTCAGTAACTACTTAAAATCTTCAGCATTCCTTTGGCTTCCTATTTCACCACTTCTCCCTTCATTATCTGGAGAAAATTAGATGCTACTGGAGAAGAAATCTCCAACTTGCTTTCCCCCTACAAACTTGAGTCCTTTCCTGTGCAAAGAGAATCAGGTGTCCTTCCAACTCAAGGCTAACCCTAGCATCTATGCTCTGAATCCCATGCTCTGCTGCTTCCTCTGGAACCTAAGCTCAGTAATTTCCTTTATTTCATTTTATTTTGAGTAGTACATAAACACTGGAATATATACACATTTCTAAAAAAATCAGAACGAAATAATCCCTCATTGTTTTCCCTAATTAACCCCCCCCCCCAAAAAAAAACCTTGTTAAAAGCAGTGTCTACACTGACTATCATAACATCCTCACCTCCCATTCACTTATCAACGAATCCACTGTGGCTTCTGTCTTCACCTTTTTTATCCTGTTATAAATGTTGTCAATACTATCATACAACCAAGTCTTTTTCAGTCCATATATTACTGACCTCCCTAGCATGACTGCTGAACACGCCCTCCTTTAAAATTTTTCTTTCCCTACACTACTACTTTTTAAAAAAATTATTGTTATTGAGATTATTATAGATATCCCTCTTTTTTTCTCCCATTGCCCCCTCCACTCGGTTCCAGCCCCGTCCCAGGCCTTTGCCACTCTATTGTCTGTGTCCACAGGTAATGCATATATGCACAAAAGATGTTTAATCTCTTCCCGCCCCCACACCCCCTTTCCTCTGAGAATCGTCAGTCGGTTTCATTTTCATGCCTCTGATTCTATTTTATTCACCAGTTAATTCTGTTCATCAGATTTCTTATTCACTTATTTTGATTTTTAGATTCAATTGTAATTGTTAATAGGTATGTATTTGTTGCCATTTTGTTGTTCATCTTTTTGATCTTTTTCTTTTTCTTCCTCTTCTTACAGAATACCCTTCAGCATTTCATATACTACTGGTTTGGTAGTAATGAACTCCTTTAGCTTTTTCTTGTCTGTGAAGCGCTCTATCTGACCTTCTGTTTTAAATGATAGCTTTGCTGGATAGAGTAATCTTGGTTGTAGGTCCTTGCTATTCATCACTTTGAATATTTCTTGCCACTCCCTTCTGGCCTGCATAGTTTCTAGTTAAGAAATCAGTTGACAGTTATATGGGTATTCCCTTGTAGGTAATTAATTGCTTTTCTCTTGCTGTTTTTAAGATTCTCTCTTTGTCTTGAGCCCTTGGCATTTTAATTATGATGTTTTTGGTGTGGTCCTCTTTGGGTTCCCCTTGTTCGGGACTCTGTGCTTCCTGAACTTATAAGTCTATTTCTTTCACCAGGTAGGGGAAATTTTCTGTCATTATTTCTTCAAATAGGTTTTCAGTATCTTGATCTCTCTCTTCTTCTGGCACCCCCGAAATGCAGATGTTGGTACGCTTGAAGTTGCTCCAGAGGCTCCTTACCCTATCTTCATATTTTTGGATATTTTTTTCTTTTTGCTCTTCTGGTTGGGTTTTTTTGCTTCCTCATATTTTAAATCGTTTACTTGATTATCAGAATCCTCTACTCTACGGTTGAATCCCTGTATATTATTCTTTATTTCAGTCAGTGTATGCTTAATTTCTGACTGGTTCTTTTCCTTTTTTTCTGGAGGCTTCTAGAAGATTTTTGAGTAATCTTATAACCGCGGTTTTGAACTCTATATTCAGTAGTTTGCTTTCTTCCATTTGTGACGCTTGTCTCCGCATTTTGGCTGCTTCCCTGTGTTTGTTTCTATGTACTGGATATAGCTGCTATGTCTCCTAGAATTGGTAGAGTGGCCTTGTGTATGTGTTCTATAGCTCCCAGCCAGTCACTTGAGCTGGGAGCTCTAGGTGCACCCCTTTGTGGGCTGTGAGCAAAGTCTTATTGTAGTTGAGACTTCACTGCTGTTGGTGTCACTGGGAGGAATTAACCTCCAGGCCAATTGGCTATGAGGACCAGCTGCAACTACAATGGGAGAGCTGCTGTACAGGAGACACCCATATAGAGCAGGACTTGCTTCAGTGGGGCTTTGGTGCTCACTTGAGTGTGTCATTTATGGATGTGTAGAGTTGTAATCTGGTATAGACTGACACTGAACACTGGCTCTTGGTTCTCCAGGAAGGTATAAAGTCAGCCATTGTCTGGGTCCACCCAGTAGGAGTTACAGAGAGATCTGTAGATTCCTCCTCTTTGTATTGGGTTTGGAAGTACACAGATGAGACCCAGATATGAAGCAAGACAGGCTGGTGTTGGTGCTGGGTCTTGGGCATTTTATTGATAGGTTTGGGGCTGCTGGACCCAGCTGCAGCTTGTTTGAGAGATTTTATTTTAATTTTTTTAAAAAAATATATTTTATTGATTTTTTACAGAGAGGGATAGAGTTAGAAACATCGATGGGAGAGGAACATCGATCAGCCGCCTCCTGCACACCTCCCATTGGGGATGTGCCTGCAACCAAGGTACATGCCATTGACCGGAATCGAACCTGGGACCTTCTAGTCTGCAGGCCGACGCTCTATCCACTGAGCCAAACCAGCCAGGGCTGTTTGAGAGATTTTAGCTTGAGTAAGGACAGGCCATTCATATGCAAAAGCTTCTGCACACAGCTTGGGTGGGGTTGTAAATTGGATGAGGCGGGTCTTAGAGAAACACCAGGGTGGAGCAAACAGAAATGGCTGCGACCAGGGAGGTCCCAGCATAGGAACAATGAACCCTGGGAGCACCTCCGTCTGGAAGAAAGCTGCCCTCGAGTTCCTGCCCCAATGCTGGATAATCCAGTTCCTCCTCGTCCTGGTACTGGAGCTCAGGGGAAGTGGGACCTTGTAAGTTCAGTTCATGGTGCAAGCCTTTTAAGAGGAACAGCTGGGTCAGTAGCCTCTGTATCATGAGCCCCAATCTGCACTGGTTTTTACAGTCCGTAGTTCTTATTGCCCGTAAGAACTTCTTTTCCCAGCTCTGGGTCCCTGGGGTACGGGTCAGGTGTGGGGCTGGGACCCCTTGCTCCTTCAGGCAGCATCCTCAGAGATGATCTCCCTCTGATTAAAAAAGCAGCACATGTGGGTGCTGGACCAGCCCGTTCCTCGCTTCTGCACCTCCTATCAGTCTCAGTGTACTTTCTTTTTTACTTCTCTAGTTATAGGTCTTCCATTCAGCCAACTTTCTAGTAGTTCTGAACAATGGTTGTTCTGTATTTTAGTTGGAATTTTGATGTGGGAGGTGGCGAGTACAGAAGTTTACCTACGCCGCCATCATCCCCCTCTCCTATACTACTACTTCTTATTCTTTTGTATTTCCCTGGTTACACCTTCTTTTGAGGCTCTCCTCTAATGTCCTTTGGCAAGAAAAAGCCTTTTGAGAATTATTTTACTCAAAATAATGATACTTTGCACATCCCTCATGCTTTCAAGTTTCTAAAAAGTTGTGCTAACCTTTAAAGTATTTAGTTTATACAAAAGCCCAGGACCAGACAGCTTCACAGGGGAGTTTTACCAAACATTCAAGGAAGAACTAAAACCTATCCTCCTCAGACTACTACAAAAAATTCAAGAGGAAGGAACACTTCCAAGCTCATTCTATGAAGCCAGCATCACCCTAATACCAAAACCAGGTAAAGACAACACAATGAAAGAGAATTACAGGCCAATATCCCTCATGAACATAGATGCCAAAATCTTCAACAAAATCTTAGCAAATCGGATCCAGCAGTACATCAGAAAGATCATACACCAGGACCAAGTAGGATTTATCCCAGGGATGCAAGGATGGTACAATATCCGCAAATCAATAAACGTGATACATCACATAAACAAATTGAAAGAAAAAAACCACATGGTCATATCAATTGATGCAGAAAAAGCATTTGACAAAATTCAACACCCATTTTTGATAAAAGCTCTCAGCAAGGTGGGAGTAGAAGGATCATACCTCAACATAATAAAAGCCATATATGACAGGCCCACAGCCAACATCATACTCAATGGACAAAAACTAACACCATTTCCCCTAAGAACAGGAACAAGACAGGGATGCCTCCTCTCACCACTCCTGTTCAACATAGTACTGGAAGTGTTAGCCATTGCAATTCGGCAAGAAGAAGAAATAAAAGGCATCCAAATTGGAAAAGAGGAAGTAAAACTGTCCTTATTTGCAGACGACATGATATTATACATACAAAACCCTAGAGACTCCATCAAAAAGCTACTGGACTTAATACATGAATTTGGCAATGTAGCAGGATACAAAATTAACCCCAAGAAATCCGAGGCATTTCTATACACCAATAGTGAACTTTCAGAAAGAGAGATTATAAAAACAATCCCGTTTACCATTGCACCAAAAAAATTAAGCTACCTAGGAATAAACTTAACTAAAGAGGTAAAAGACCTCTACTCAGAAAACTACAGGAGGTTGAAAAAAGATATAGAGGAAGACATAAACAGATGGAAGAACATACCGTGTTCATGGATTGGTAGAATCAACATCATTAAAATGTCCATACTACCCAAAGCAATCTATAAATTCAACGCACTTCCCATTAAAATACCAACGGCATACTTCAGAGATCTAGAACGAACTCTCCAAAAATTCATCTGGAATAAAAAAAGACCCCGAATAGCTGCAGCAATCCTGAAAAAGACCAAAGTAGGTGGGATCTCAATACCAGATATCAAGATGTATTACAAAGCCACTGTTCTCAAAACTGCCTGGTACTGGCACAAGAATAGGCATATAGATCAATGGAATAGAATAGAGAGCCCAGAAATCGGCCCGAACCAATATGCTCAATTAATATTTGACAAAGGAGGCAAGAACATACAATGGAGCCAAGATAGTCTCTTCAATAAATGGTGTTGGGAAAATTGGACAGATATATGCAAGAAAATGAAACTAGACCACCAACTTACACCATACACAAAAATAAACTCAAAATGGATAAAGGACTTAAATGTACGACAGGAAACCATAAAAATTCTAGAAGAATCCAAAGGCAACAAAATCTCAGACATATGCCGAAGCAATTTCTTCACTGATACAGCTCCTAGGGCACTTGAAACGAAAGAGAAAATGAACAAATGGGACTACTTCAAAATAAAAAGCTTCTGCACAGCAAAAGAAACCATCAACAAAACAACGAGAAAACCCACTGTGTGGGAAAACATATTTGCCAATGTCATATCTGATAAGGGCCTAATCTCCAAAATTTATAGGGAACTCATACAACTTAACAAAAGGAAGATAAACAATCCAATCAAAAAATGGGCACAGGACCTAAATAGACACCTTTCAAAAGAGGACATTCAGAAAGCCAAGAGACATATGAAAACATGCTCAAAGTCACTAATCATCCGAGAGATGCAAATCAAAACAACAATGAGGTACCATCTCACACCTGTCAGACTGGCTATCATCAACAAATCAACAAATGACAAGTGCTGGAGAGGATGTGGAGAAAAAGGAACACTTGTGCACTGCTGGTGGGAATGCAGACTGGTGCAGCCACTATGGAAGACAGTATGGAGTTTCCTTAAAAAACTGAAAATGGAACTCCCATTTGACCCTGTGATCCCACTTCTAGGAATATATCCCAAGAAACCAGAAACACCAATCAGAAAGGATATATGCACCCCTATGTTCATAGCAGCACAATTCACCATAGCTAAGATCTGGAAACAGCCTAAGTGCCCATCAGTAGATGAATGGATTAGAAAACTGTGGTACATCTACACGATGGAATACTATGCTGCTCTAAAAAGGAAGGAACTCTTACCATTTGCAACGTCATGGATGGAACTGGAGAGCATTATGCTAAGTGAAATAAGCCAGTCAATGAAGGAAAAATACCACATGATCTCACTCATTCATGGATAATAGAGACCATTATAAACTTTTGAACAATAATAGATACAGAGGCAGAGCTGCCTCAAACAGATTGTCAAACTGCAGCAGGAAGGCCGGGGAGGGTTGCGGGGCAGGAGGTAGGGGGTAAGAGATCAACTAAAGGACTTGTATGCATGCATATAAGCATAACCAGTGGACATAAGACATTGGGGGATAGGGGAGGCTAGGGGACTGTCTAGGGCGGGGGGATAAAATGGACACATATGTAATACCCTTTGTAATACTTTAAGCAATAAAAAATAAAAAATAAAAAAAAAAATAAAGTATTTAGTTTATAAAAATCTTACATAAACAAACATATATTATTATTAGATTGTTCTTGAGCCATAAGGACTCAATACTAATTTTTTAATAAAAATAGCAAATGCAAAAAAAAACAAAAAACATTACTTACCTGCATAGGTTTGGTAAGTGGATCCATTCTAACTAAATAAACTTCCAAGGTACGTTCTTTTTTCATGGGCAATGGAAGTGTCAAGTAACAAAAAGGATCAAATGTTACTGAAATCTTATCACATTTAGGACAAACTAGAGTTGATTTGAAAAGGCCATGAAATATGTCTACTATGATAGAATCATTTCTTTTTAAATGGTTTTCCCAGGCTTCTTCAGCAACTACCTATAAGGAAAATAGACACATATTACACAGAGATATTACATTATTAAAACAATGGTGACAATAACATAATTAAATTTACCTTATCTGCCCTTCCATCAGCATCTTTTAATTGTATATATGGTTTTTTCCTAATTCTATTCAAATCCTCATGTAGTCCATCTAACAGGAAAGCTAATAGTTCTTGACAGTCCTGCTGCTGGTATCCAGAGAACTGTGGTGCAAAACGTCCTACCTGTGTCTGTAAGAAAAGCAAAACTATAAAATCAGTTCTAGGGACAGGTTGATTAAAAAATTACATAGTTAATTCTCATTATTCATGGATTTCTATTTGTGAATTCATCTACTTGCAAAAATTTATTTAAACCCCAAATCACCTATGGACACTTTTATAGTCATTTGCAAATATGATAATTACACATATAAATACATATAATTACACATTTAAAAAATGTTTTAAAATAACTAGTCTGTAAAACAGAAATGTTGACCTGAAGAAAGAACAAGGAGAAAATATCGTAAAGTTTTATAAAAAGAATTATTAAAATTTAGGATTTCTAGGTCACTAGAAAAAATTACATAGTTCTCATTTTGTTTTTTTTTGTGTAAAAAGGATGAATCTCATAGAGATAACAGGAATATGCATGTTCACATATAATGTCCCTAGTCTTTGCAGTACTAAGTATTTCTTTGATGAGACTAAAAAGAAATGTGAAAAAAGAGTCAGATATCAAAAGCCTATTTACACAGCAATATTTAATAAAATGAAACTCATGAAACTAAACATGGGGAAGGATTGAGAACTGGTTTTTCCAAGGTTTAGAAAGTTAAATGCCAGAGACTTTTTTATTGTTGGTTTTTAGTTTTAAAGAACTATTATACAGATAATAAAATGTTGCCTACATGTCCTATATATTTAAATGTCATTTAAAATGTTTGTATAAAAATGGCTGAAAACTGCTTAATTAAAAATAAATTCAATAACAAACTAAACTACTTTAGATTTTATTGATTCTAAGAAGTCACTACTTTATAAATTAAACTTAAAAAAGTTTAAGAATTACACATAAAATTTCATTCTATCATTACTTTCCTACCCACCCCTCAGAGCCTTTAAAGACATTTTTAAATTAATCATTTGTCCCATCCCCCAGCTGGAAAATTTAAGACCAGAAATAATACTCTTTATCTATTTATGGTGCTGTGTCCCTTTGCAAGGCTACAAACCATTGTAATAGCTATGAGAACCAATTTTTGTCCTCTAGGAGTGGAGATAGCCCTCATTAAAAATATATCTACTATACTAACCTTAAAAGCTCTTGGTGTGACATAGCTAAATTTTCCAGACCACATTTGCTTGATCAATTCAGCATAAGATTTAGCTATTTCACCTCTCATTCCTAAGGGATTGTCAAAATTCAGTTCTTCTTGATACTTGTCATTGAGGAAATATTCAGTAAGCGGTGGTGTGTTGCTCAAACACTGCAAAGAATAAAATATATTTTCAAGTCAAAGTAACCACACATGTTAAACATGTTAAATATGAAGAAAGAAACAAATTGATTTGCCACAACATATAGAGAAAAATTTAAATGATGGCCTCTTGCACCGATAAATAACTGGTTAAATAAACACTCAAAATATGCACTCAAATATTCATTTCCCAAATTTTAAATCGATTACGTATAATAAATGATAATGCTAATATTTGTTGCTGTAAAATCTGCATTAATTTTAACCACAGCAAACTACCTTGTTAACTGGGAGGGTAGCTCAGAGTTTTCTTTCCTTCTTTTACTTGATTGGTAGATATTATGGCTTTGTCTACTCATCCCAGGCACCTGCAAATTAGCCTGAGTAGGTAAAAACTGAGATAGAGTGCAAGCACAAAATTAACTTAAAAGAGTATTTACTGCTTTCACTGTCAATTCCTTATCATGAAAGAGCAGGCTTTAAATTTTTCATTTGGTCAGACATTTTTAGCTGGAATAGTACTGATTAAATGAGTCTGAAAAAACAAGCTTTAGTTATGTGAACTCTGGCTAAGTATGTTTTTACTTCTTCAAGCTCTTCTTCAATATCATAACAATCAAATTTTCCTTTATGGCAAGATTAAAATAAAAGTATGAATAAGTTATTTCTCCAACTATTTTCTGGTTTGAATTAAATAATTCAGGATTTAAAATAAAAAGCAGAAGTACATTTTTTCCACAATATTTTATCTCAAGATGGAGTAATTTTAAGCTGATAATACCATATAATATGAATCCACTATAACTTTATTGATTAGAGGCCTAGAGTCATTAAGAATATATAATGAATGATACAGACATATAGTCATATAGGTAACTTTTTAAATTTTTTCTGAAGGAAGATATTTGTCTTGGAGGAAAGTGGCTAAGTGCTTTAAGTGAAGCTGTAAAGAAGTGCAAATCCACTCTTATGAGAACTCAGATTTATATGAATAGAAATCAAAGTTTTTCAAAGCTTGCTCACCACTCATTTGGGTTAACTTAAATAGTCTTGATAGCTATGAAAGGTCCAGACTACTGGATTCATGGTGATAACTTGGATGCTATAATCTATGATTATATACATGTACTGTTCGGCTAAAACCCCGAAATTAGGCATATTCAATTAAAAAAAATAAGTTATGGTATTCTACTTCTTGGTTTCAATTATAAACCAAATTATGTTTACTTAAGTAGCCATAATATCTATTTGGGAAGTTTTTTATATCTAGCCCCCAAGTCAAGGCAAAAGGAGTGATTACCTATACCATCATGGAATTTGTTATATTAATTCTTAGGCAATGAAAACCATATAAACAGTTAAAAATATTTGGGGTTGGCTATATAAGCTTTGGAATCATTAATACGCCATTTTCAGCAGAAATTCTTTTTTATCTGAGCAAAAAGATAGAGGTAGGTTAAAATACAAGAGGCAATTAGGGAAAGGATCCCTTTCTATCTTTCTGCTTAACTCCTTTTAAATCTCAACCTTTCATAATGTTACATGCCTTCTGAGTTTCATTTTCTCTTTTCCTTTTGATTGTTCTCTTAATTATAAACCAAGCACTGAAGTTAGGGCCAGGCAACCAAGACTATACCATGGCTATACAGAGCAAAGCCATCACTTAGTGGTATCATCTGAGTTAGTATAAACAGAATCAACACTAGTCATTGAGGCAAAGGGGAAGTCAGACAACATTTCCAGCCATTATCAATTCCTTATATCTGATCACAACTCAGGGTTGTAATAAGAATATTCCACTACTGTCTGTAGTACAGTTATACAAAGAACCTAATTTATGGCTTTATGAAACACCTCAAATAACCAAGTAGTGCAAACATAAATTTTTGAATATTGTTTGTACTTAATTATTCACATATATCCTTATCTTCTAAATATAACCGAAAATTTCTTAGTTTACTAATTGCATCAGAGTGATCTTCTATAAATGTTCCTTGCTATAAATTCTTTAATAGCAATTTCAGATTAAAATCTTAGATCTCTAAAAGAGTTTATCTCTTGGATTAAAAAATCCTGCCTAACTGGGTGGCTCAATGATTGAGCATCGACCTATGAACCAGGAGGTAACGGCTCAATTCCCAGTCAGGGCACATGTCTGGGTTGTGGGCTCGATGCCCAGTGTGAGGCATGCAGGAGGCAAGCAATCAATGATTGTTTCCCATCATTAATGTTTCTATCTATCTCCCTTCTCCTTTCCTCTCTGAAATCAATAAAAGTATATTAAAAAAAAAAAAGATTCAGGAATCCTGTCTGGGAAGCCTTCCCTGACTCCCTTACATTGTTTCCTCATACATGTTTCCACAGTGCTTAGCGCTCACTTTTATTACTTCACTATGTATTTTATAACATATTGTAACTTTAATTTTTAGTTTGTCTGTCTTGCCAAATGGAATGAGACCTCCATGATAGGACGAATCATGATACATTTGGTATCTCCAGCACTGAGCACCCATTTTACTTGGCACTTAGCACGCATACAATAAACGTATGCTTAACAAAAATGCTTTTGCCTACCCCAGTCAGAGTGGCTCAATGGTTGAACTTTGACCCATGAACCAGGAGGTCACAGTTTGATTCCCAATCAGGGTACAGGCCCAGGTTACAGGCTTGATCCCCAGTAGGGGGTGTTCAGGAGGCAGCCGATCAATGATTCTCTCTCATCACTGATGTCTCTATCTCTCTCTCCCTCTCCTCTCCTTTCTCTGAAATCAATAAAAACACTTAAAAAAAAGTTTTTGCCTATGTTTACTAATGTATTTATGCTTTTTTTTTTTTAAGCTCTTTTCTTTCACTGTTTGGCACAGTACTCAAATTTTTGTTGAAAAAAATTACTAAGTGAGGCAAAAAAAAATTTGCTTATAATAAATAATACCAAATTTCTCCAAGCACTTGTACTTGAATACTAAAATCAAAAGAAGAACCACCACCTATTACATCCCTTTGTCTGACTTTCATTCAGTCCACTATCTGCAGTGTCTCTGAATGGATTTTTAAAAAGTCCCTGACACAGAGACCAGTGCTCATTTTCATAGTGACACATGCCAGTTTGTAAATGAATATAATTCAATGTCAACAAACAAAACAAACATAAACAGTTTTAAAGATAAATAACTGCCTGTCAAGATATCATAACCAATATATTTTGAGATAAACTTTATATTTAAACCACTAAGTCCTAAATGGCCCCCCAAAACATAATATTCGTTGAACATAATGTTTTAAGAAACTAACAAGCTATAGTTTCTAAATTTGTATAAACACATAAATACAGAAATTCAATAGCCAGTTTAATTGTTCTACGAATGCACATATCATAATAGTTTAAAAACTAAACTGATGTCAGACTTTTCTATCACATCCTGAAAATACCATGCTTTTCTACTAGAAAATAACATTATTCTAGGAGTCACTATATTCTTGACATAGTATAAAAACCAATCAAAATATTAAAAGTTCTTATAACTTCTGATATAAATTTCAAGGTATAACTGGAATAGAGGTAAAACAACTAAAATATTTTCATGCTCCAGGTGATATCAGTATGAAATGCCATCACTCTGAAGAAAAAAGACAGTTACTTAAAGTTGGTCAGGCAGCTTGATTTATGATGTATGCAACTCATTATTCAATATTTTGACATGAGGCTATTTTAGAAAAATAAACATCTTTGACAAATATAAGAAAATTTGATACATGGACTGGCACCAGTAAATATATTTTAAAAATAATTTTCATTAGTTCAATAATAAAAATCAAAACCAGAGTTCTGAAGTATCTCTCTCAAAAGTTCTACTACAAAAATGATCACTTCCCTATCTGGTTAGGACTGTACCTAAAACAATTCCTTTCTTAAGACACACATGTATTAAAAGTCATACAAGTGCTGACATAGGAAATTTCCTTCTAAACTTGTAAGATACTTTACTGAGTAATATAATATGGACTAGAAGTCACACACAACATATGTTGTGCCTATGTAGATATATATCTTACTTTCAAGGATTCTTAAACTGTAAAGAGAACAAACTCATCCTTCCATAATATACATGGTTTTTCTTAGCAAAAACAGTATATGAATGTTTCATAAGAACAAAATAAAACATATAGACAGTATTAATATGCTATTTTTATGGTTACTCAGGAGTTTTGTGACACTCTACCAGTCACTTGCCATTTTGAACTTTACCTCTCTTAATTTGATTTCAACTGTCTGACATTGACATATGCTAACACTTCAGTATTTCAGGGAGAACTATCTCTTACAATTAATCACCAAAAAATGAGGTCCATATATGAAGTAATGTGCCTGATTATTCAATACATTACCTTAAGTCACATTTTGTTTACATCGTAAGTGTGCCTAGAGTTGGTCCTAAAATTGAGAATTTTGTCAAATACCATGTTAAAAATAAAGCAATAATGAGAATAAAGAAAAGTATTATGTACCAGTGGTTACAATTCTTTTTTTTTTTCTTCCCCCAGTGGTTACAATTCTTAATGCAAAAGAAAAAAAGTGAAAGATTCACATTAACGAAGAGTCAAATGCACTCATCAACTAGGCTAAATATTTCTATATTTAAATATATTTTATGATCCTTAGGCAAGTTAAAGTGTGTAAAATTGACAAGAGCATTTAAAGACCTAAGGATTAAAAAACTACATTTCATATTATTTGGTAGGCTTTGGGCATTCATTAATTTAGCCTTTGTGATATAATGACTAGCTGCCTAAATGGAAAGTTTTCAGACATAAGCTGTTACGAAATGTTGATGCATAAGGGATGATGAAAATGGCTGGTGTATGTGCAAGCCAATCATTTTGTGAGGAGACAGGACTGCTAAGTATTTATTCCTCAAAGTGGCTTTGTGGTTCTGTATTTATGTTTACATATGCATTTAAAATGGAAACCATGAGTAATAAGAGTATTCTTGAATGTAAATCTGAATTAG